AACCCAAAACTGTATTCTATAGCCTTCCATGTCATTTCCCAGAAACTAGACTAGACTATTGTTGTCAATAGACTATTCGCACCCTCTGCCCATAGAGCCTGACTCCTCAGGCTATAAACTAGGTGTTAAGAGGCCTGTGAGATAGGAAGATGTTTCTGTCCTCACACCCTCTGTGGAACTCCCCGCCCTAAGGGGAGCACTGAACATTCCTGCCTGAACTGGAGGATATATAATCTTGGAGTTTTGGAACATTTTTCAACCCACTCGTGGGATCCAGAGGACGGCTGCAGCTCATCGCTCTCAACCAGACTTAGACCACCACTGGACTGCGATCACCAGTTCTGGCCAGACTGCAGCAGCTCTCCCACCAGCAGGTTCTTCCCCTCTCCCTTTACTTTGGACTCAAACAGGGCCCAAGGAACACCACTTTGTTCATGCCCCAGGGCACTGGGTTATACATTTGGGTTTTTTGTGGGTTGAGACCAATTGTTTGTTTGTATTATTGTACTTACTGTATTATTTTAATAAATTGTTATTCTGACTTATAATCTCTCCTTTGAGTTGAGTTCATCCCCCTGCTGGTTAACTTTTAAACCAGTACATGTGGTCAACAAATTAGAAACGTTTCAGCAAATATATATTTAGTTTTGTAACCAGTGCATTTTATTCTTATTCTCCATGTGTGGCAACTCTCAAGGTTGTATGACAGAATATTTCATCAAAAGCAGTTTCTGTCCCATGGAGATGTTTACGGCAGTTCCTGGATTCTGCTGAAGTAAATATGAGGCTCAGATTTTCTGACTTGCCATGTGATGTTTGTCCTGTTTATTCCAGTTAAATAAGAATTTTGATGCCTCTTGTGCAATTGTGTTGGGCCAAATATTCAAGTGGAGAAAAGAAAACTAAAATTTAGAGAACTGCAATTCAGATGGAGTTTGGGTTCCGGGAATCCTGAATTTCCAATGCAGTTAATTCTGAAATGCTCAGTGCACGTGGCCAAGCATTTGGAATGTGGTGAGGTCCATAATCCCCCTGGTGAGTGGGTGTGCTGGAGCTGACTTATTCAGGAAAGGGGCAGGCCATTAGACACAGGGACACAGCTCAGGGTAACAGCGCTCTGAGGAATATGGAACAGTGGAAATAGTCTCCCAGCTGGAAGTTGATGGATAATACTTGGAAAAGCTGCCTGCAGTATCCTGACTGATACGATCTCCTGCAGGGAAGAGGGAACAGAGAAGGAAGTGGTGTGAAAACAGCACCCTGTCCCTTGGGCTTTTGTGACTAGGTATCGCCGCTGGTTACATCTATGCCTAATGCAGCTCCTGCAGTGGTTTGCCTGGAATTCCAAGTTATTTCTATTTTGTATATTGTTTGTTTTTAAATTATTGAACTATCTAGAAAGCCCTATTTGTCTTTGAGGGAAACCTGTACCTTGATATGTTTTCATATTAGGAATTAAAAGGAACACATTTCAGAACACAAAAGAAGATCATCAGGCTTTATTTCAAAATGGGTGTTTAGATTCAAATAATATATCTTTATTTATATAGAATATGAAAATGTGTGCCTTCAGTTGAAATGCAATGCTATGTGAAAACAGCATTTCACTTTTTACCTTTAAAACCTCTGAGAAGCTCTGCTAGCTGAGATCTAGAATAATTGATACTGTTCTTCTGAAATACTGAAAAATTGGGTTTGGGAGGTTGGTTTGTTTTTTTATAATTTACTTTTTGCTTTTTAAGGTATCGTAGCTTAGCCCAATCAGTCAGTGGAATAACATTGGCCTGAGGCTTGAGGTCTGGATGAAAATTCTGTCTGCACATGCTGTTCTTTGGGAACCAGTGTAACAGTTACTTTCAGGATTGCTCCAGTGACAATATTTTAATACAACTTTCCAGGCCATTCCTGCTGACATTTCTGGGTTTAGTTTGAATAAAGTACTAGAGCTTTAACCAGAGTTAACAATTCTATACTACAATATTTCAGTTAAATTGCAGGTTATTAAATAAAGCAAGCCAATTTCTGATCTTACCTAATGTACATTTCCAGTAATTCAGGATCTGATGTCAACAAGAAAAATGGTTTAGATAGTGCAAAGAAGTAAAGTAATCAGATTATCTTTCAGGAAATGTATAGTGTTTATTTCAAAGCATTTTAGCGTGATACAGAGCTACTAGAAGGATTTTCAATTTACAGGGTGGGATTTGGGTCAGAGGGACATAATGTTTGTTTGTGGTGCAGTCTTTGGTTCTTGACTGGGATGGACTGGGGGAATTGCTCCCTTCTCTCTGGCAGTGCAGTTGTCCTGCAGTTATCTGTTCTGTCTCCTCCTCGAGAGGTGTAACCCATCTTCAGTGAACTCCCCATCTGAGTCTTTCCAGGCTTGAGTTTGGTCTAGCACTGATCTCTCGGTGAGAACACACAGGACAAGCACAGCTTGTTACAGGTGGTCACGGGAAAACCCAAGAGCTGGTTTTGTTGGTTTCTGCATATAAGTCTTTTGCCTCTCTTTCCATCAGCTGTTTACCCTACTCATTGGGCAGCTCACATCTATTTCCCCACAGCTCTCCAGTTGGCTTTGTGAGAATTTCCAGTTGTGCAGGTCATGTTCTAGACTAGAGCTGGGCCAGTTCTGGCTTGCTGGAACCTGACCTTAGCAGTTAGTTGTAGTCATTGGTGACTGCCACAGTGCAGCCATACTAGACCAAGGAGATAAAGGAACTGATGCAGAATTCACACAGCTCATGCATGCGGACTCTGACTTATGAAATATAAGTAATCCATGTTATGAATCAAACTGCAAGCAGTCCAGGCAACAGAAATATCTGTGCATAATGTATGCATATCTCTAGAGCTTCAAGGAGTGAGTCCTTAAACACGTGAAACTTCAGGGATTCTAGTGTCCCCTGTGCCTCCATGGACTGTAAACTCATTCATACCAAATGGTCCTATTTTCCTGATAATGATATGTGTAAAAGTGTGTATTTAGCAACAGCAATATGTATGAGTTGGTTGAGATGGACTTTCCCCATTTTGGGTCCCTGTGAATAAAGCTAAAGCTAAATATAACAACAGCAGTGTTGTTATATCGTCCAAATGAATTGAGGTGGATTGATGTGATCCATACCACTCTTGTCTTGAAAATAATACTTTAGCTGGGTTCTTCCTGGGGACATCAGTCCAGCTCTCTGAGTCTGCTTTTAAGATCTGAACTCAGCCATTATTTTGGACATGCCATTGCATCATGAAAGTTTATACTTCCAGATCAGTTACACAGCAAGAAAAATTAGAACATTGCCTTAAAAGACTCAGTGGACAAAAAAATACAAACTCACTGAAAAAAGTTTTCCTGAATGTTTGTCCTTTAAAAACTATCTGGCTATTAGGGCAAAACATGATTTTTTTGTCAATTCTTTGTTCTAAACAATTTTTTCTTTTTTTTTTTTTTTTCCCCTGAGAAGTGACATTTGTTGAAGAAAGTGGACCATTCTTAGTCCTTTCTCTTCCTAAGTCACACCTTTAACAGCAGGGTACTACAGTGTGCTTTCCCAGCAGTTTGCATAGATTTGTTGTTCATCTTAAATGAAATTAAGATAGGACAAATATATCCAGAGAGCTAGGTCCCCCCCAACTCTTTCTATTGTCTTTCTCTAATAGAATTTGGGCATTTTTTTCCATTTTGAAGTGCTGTCCTCAGCTTCAGCACCTATTGGTTTACAGTGAAGGTTTCACTGATAGGAGAATATCTGGGATATCGAAGTGTGTAGGTCTGATCAAAGAGAAATATGTAGCATGATGTTTCTCTCGATGTTTCAGTCCAAAGGAGCAGAGCCAATTACTACCTCACTTATAGAGATGCCAACTTGGGATCCTCCCATGCGAGTGTGTGAGTCTGGGAGAGTTTGGTTTGGGAACAGTCACTTTCTGATCCTTAACTGGTCATGCAGACATCCCTGATCCACTTTGTGACAAATAGGTGCCGAACTCAGTGGTTCATACAACCCTTCAAAGCATGACTTGCCGGAAGAAGGTTGCGCTGTAGCTCTCTGGGACTTGCAGTCTTGTGAGGGGGGGTCAAACCCAAGTCATACACAAACAGATAAACGCTGAAGCTGACATGCAGGAATTTGGATACTTCCAGGAAGCACTGGATTCAGCAAACATGTGCTGATGAATTTACCTCCTCAACTGAAATCTGATTTATAAAGTCTCAAAGACTGTTTACAGGCATGTAGAGAAGTAGAGACCAAATGTGCACAGCCCTGGAATTTTCCCCATGAGAGTACATGGGTGGAGCCCTATCCCAATTAGGTTTGAGAATACCCTGTGGTGTGTTCCAGAAAAGACTGTCAGAAACTGTTCAGTCAACAGTTGTGGGTGACAACATGTTAGACAACAGCTGCTATTCCTCAGGTAAAGCAGGACTTGGTTAAAGACAATTCCTGTGTGTGGGGGCTATTGAGTTCTGATGCAGACAAGGCACAGGGAGAAGCTCTGGTAGAGCAGCAGGTGCTGCTTTGCAGTATCTCCAGACAGTCTGGTGATAAACGACTGGCCCGGCAAGAGGAGTCCAATCTCACACTTTGAGTATGAATGTTTTTGAAGTGAGACTGCTGTTTCGCTAGGTTTTTCCTTCTTCTCAAGATGTTGAATTTCTGACCAAAATTCTCCAAGTTTCTGCAATAATGAAAGAATTTTTGGAAAATATCAGTTGCATGGAAGAACTTGAGAATGTTGGTTATGAATGAAATGAAATGAACCTCTGTGTGGCTTATGAAATTTCTGTTGGTTCATGACTTGAATTGTTTGAAGTGATGAATGATACTGCAAGAAACTATGACTTATTCTGGCTGGAATATTTAAAAATATAAATATTTTATTACAAATTTTTATTCCCATTTATAAGATATTTGTTTTTTGCAAACCCTGTTTAATAAGATTTTTGATTCCAATGGACATGGTTCCAGTTACCGATGTTTTATTTTTTTTCTGTTTTACAGTTATACCAGTAGAGTTGTTTCCAATGGACTGAAGGCACAAATTAATAATCCAGAACTGAAAGTCAGAGGATTGGACCCACTCATCAGTAATTTAATTGACAAACTTCAGCACTTTAATCAAGTAAGTAATTTTCCAAGATAAAAGCATTTTATCACACAACTGCAGGTAAAATTACTACATGGTACAGCTCATCATTTACGTTTCCCAGGATCCGAGATCTGAAGTAGCCATGGAGTGGGCTTGTACTAAAGGCAGCAGAATATTCTGTTGTGCCACCTGGGTTATGAACTCTGATGAGGCAGAATTATTTCTCTGGGAGTTGCTCTGTAGGTATTGATTACCTGGAATTAATCCTGGAGTCCACAGTGGCAGGGGCACAGAGGAACTCCCGTGCCCCATGGTTCACATGAATTGTGACTACGGACAGGTCATGTGGGTGCCTTTAGGAGTCGTGTGATATTCCTGAGTTGGAGGACCATCTCCTTGTTTGTGCAGCTTCCTGCTTTCCAGTGGTGTAGATGAAAAGAGAACAAAACCAAAATGAATCTATAAGGGTGTGACAGCCGACTGTACAGAATGCTGAAGTCAGGACAGAAGGTGCTCCAGCATGAATTAACCTTGTGCCTTTGAAAGCATTTCTTTGACAGGCCTTTCCCTCAGCCCAAAGGAAAGATAACCTACCAGCGGGTTTGTCAGAAACGTGATTAACCCACATCTGCCTCTGTCATCTCTTTGAATCTCTCAGATGCACTTGCATTCCTGGTGCATCCGCCATCTTTCAAAGCTGAATGTGTGATACTCCCGCCTCAGCACACCTCTTTGTGAGCTCTTACAGCAGTGCCAGCCCAAATGAGCTGGAGCTAACAGATTTAACAGAGATTGATTTTCATTTAGAGCGGGCATGTTTTCTTGTCAGCTTGGAATAATGCTTACAGCAGTGCATTCTCAGGCAGAGGTGTTTGCACATTAGTCTGCTCGTAATCTTTCACCATTAAAGAGTGATGGAGCATGGGGATATAAATAGTAGGAAACCACTGCAAAATCAAAGTCCACCTTTGTGAGTGGGGTGTGCAGGAAGAAAAATAATCTGTGCAGGTGAAACAGGAGGAGAAGTTGCTTAGTCAGGATGTGGGAGGTTATGAAGACTGTGGCTGTGACTGCGAGTCATGGTTTCATCTCTTACTTGCTCCTGCAAAAGTACAACTCTCCTTTACTTCTCATCAGTAAATCATCAGTAAATCCATAATCTAACCAGTAATTAATGGGTTTTTTATATCTTACTTGGCTCTCATGTTCTTTTCCTGTTCTGTAGGCTGCAGTTTAGGAATTCTTTGTATTAAACTGATTTAACTCACCATGGGGGATTACAACTACCAGTCTGGTGTGGTACTTAATATTACAGTGAAATAGGCATTATGTGGTCAGATTGATGAAAGGGATAATTCATTATTTATCTGCTTTTGCATGTTATAAAGTAGAGTGTTAATTTACTTTATAAATATTAGATATATCCATCTGTGTAATAGTCTTCTATAAACACTGACAGTAGGAAATAGTTAGAAATAGATTAAATTAAAAGTAGCCGTGTATTGGAAATTCTGTTTCTTTGCTGTAGAAAAATAAAACTCTGCATAGTCTCATAATGATCTGCATACCAATTTTCCTAAGTTATGTACATTTAAAAAACGGCTTCAAAGAGCACTTTTTAACCAGAAGAATAAAATCCATTTCTTGGCTCTTTTTGTAAGTTGGAAGTGTTGCTTCCTGGTACTTCTAACTCTGTTTCAGGAGAATATCATCCTTAAGTAAATATAACTCCCATCAGATTGAGGTGCTTAGCAATAATGGATTCCAAGGGTGATGGATTAAACAGAATACTGATTAGTGCCCTAAGATGCTTCGTTCTTAAGTACTTGCAATAATATAAATTCCTTTGATCGTAATTTTAGTAAGATTTCTTTAGAGATCAAAGCATCAAAGAAGTGGCTAAATATCTAAGACTTTCACATGTGACATCAAACATGTGTAGCTGTTTTCTGCTTCTTGAATTTTCATTTCAGTTGTGATATTATTATACAAATAAAAACTGACACTGAAAAGCTGATTAAATCAGGAGTTTAAAGTGTCATCGATAGTGTGTGTAGTCTGTAGAGTTATACAGAATCCCATTACTTATTTTATGGGCAAATTGATTTTTTTCATCAAAGTATTTTTTTTGAGGCAATGTGCAAGGTGGAATTTGAGCAATGATAAAATGTTATCTTTGTATCTTCTCAAGTGCTTCACAATTGCGACACCATTTTAAGCAGTACTTGCACGCTGTATACACAGAACCAATCCCAGAGAGGTGGGAAGCCTGGAGAACAAGAAACAAAGCAATGCACATCATAGGTGATTTGGTGTGTCTAGGCCCCAGTAGTCTTCTATCTCTTAAGTATTATTTCTAAACTCCCCAGAAGAAAGCATGTTCTTGGATAAGAGAAAGGTGTGCTGAGATTTTTAAAGGATTAACATTTCTGTCTCAACAAAATGAGCTCCCGTCGTGCTGCATCTATCCCTCAGGGAGCCTGGACCTGTTGGCTTTCAATCTCTCTCTCTCTCTCTCTCTCTCTCTCTCTCTCTCTCGATATGTGTTTTGCAAAGGTACATGTTTTTGAAAATGGGAACAACCTGCTGCTAGATCAGATTGTTGAGGCTGTGGAATGCTGTCAACGTTCAAACCCGCAGGATTCATTTTTTTTAAAGATGATAGCGCAGCCATTCTTAACAATTTCTGGAGCAAATCTAATTGTTACTGTCTTTGATAGATCCTCTTCCACCTTCTTCTTCCACTGCTGTACCCCAGCTCTTCCCTATCCCTCACAGCCAGAGATGCAGCCTCCTTCCCCCGTGCCGGCAGTGCTGGTTGCGGACACAGTGGTGCAGAGCAGCAGGGCCGGAGGGGCTGGAGATAACAGGGGACTCTGGCCACTGTGAGCAGGGCTGGCTTGTCACTGGCCATGCAGAAGGAGCAAAGTATTCACTCACTGAAATCCAAACCTGACAGTCTTTGGTGTACAGCAACCCTTTCTTTGTTAGTTCTGTATTATGACTTGCCCACCAATGTAAAAGGCCGATAACTTCAATCACCCTAAATCCCATGGACATGGACAACACTCTTGTGTTACTGTTCTAGTTGGTGCATCCCCGCTCCAACACATTACAGTTAATCTGTATGCAAGGCCTCTTCCATTTCTGCGTGTCACTTAGGCTGACGTGCCAGTTTATTGGAGATTATAGCAGCTCCTCTTTTTTTCATCTGGGGCTTAAATCCTCACCACATAGTTGTTGTCTTTTTTAAAAAAATGATTATTCAAATAGCAGGCTATTTTATAACCACTTGGCAAAGTCAAAAGTAAAGTGAAATTTAGGAAATATTGTTCAACAATTACTGTGATTTGCATCCCTGGCAGATAAGGTAGTTGAAGGGTTTATTAAAGCTGCTGATCCACATATCACTAGAATTACCAAGCTGCAATTTACAGTAACTTTCAGTAATGCAAAAACAGATCAAGTGAAGTCTCAGGTTGATTTTGGAAAAGTAGCAGTTAGAAATAACATCTTCTGCTCTCTCTTTTCTGTGAATAGGGCAGATGTGAACTGCAGCTGATAATAAACACATAATCCCCCGTTGCACCTTTTTTGAGTACTGCTTCTTGTCACATAATCGCATTTAAATATGTTTTTATGGTTTTCTTCAGCATAATGCTCTCCAGAGTTCAAACACAAGTGGTTCTGAGGCCAGGCTTAAAAATCCTAAAGGATCAATTACACTGAAAAGAAATGAGAATGCTGGGAAAAGTGGAAAAGCGGTGACTGTTACTTTATTAGCAGGGATGCATCAATCTGCTCAAAGGATTATAATATAATAAGTATTATACAAGTTCAACGTATTTGTCTTTTGTCAACCTAAATCTAATCTAGACAGATTTTGTGAATCAGTGTGTTTTGCTGTTGTCAGAGATGAATGCTTAGGGGCATGGCTGTAGTTCAAGAAAACAGTGCAGTTAGCCTAGTCCATAAAATGAGAGTAATATCAAAGCAAATCTTGCTGAATCTGGATTCACATATTTTATTTTTTTTCCCCACCAAAGTCTCATGGATCTGCCAACTGAACTGAGAAATGCATGTAACTTAATTCCTTGCAGATTTGTACACAGAGGATGTGTACCGCAGGTTCAAAGCAACAGCACTGAGATGTTTCATACCAGTAATATGAGCCAGCTATAATTTAATCTCAAATGTGAATTTAGTTGAATTAGACAATAGAGAATAATAAAATAAATAATTTAAGTACTACTTAATTTAAAAGTGTGGGTTTTTTACACATCTAAAAAATTTATTAGATTATAGAGTTTTTATTTGAGATTTAAGTGGAGACAAGTTGGTTTGATTTTCATCCAAAGTCACAGCTGACTTGGACAAACATTCAAAATTTTCTGTTCTTCATTTCATCCAATGAAAACATGGAAGGAAAGGCAGTCATCTGAGACTGTTGCTACATTACTTCTAGTCCCTGGGATTTAAGCAGCCCCAAAAGGGTTAGAAGTAACATTGCTTACCCCCACTTGTCACTCTTACAAAACAGAGCACCTTTCCTGGCACAGCCATATGTCTGGATTTCAAAAACAGGTCCCTTTTTTCTATCCAAAGCACGTAGAGACTGGACATTTCTTCGGGATTTAAGGTGTTCCATATCGCTTCTGGAAATGTGAAGCAAGAATCAGAAAGTCCTAAAGATACTCATTCTCTCTTCAGTGGCTAACCACACAGCCTGTGTGTAATTTAAGGCATTAGTGTAATGTTGATGCACAGGTTAATAGAAGATGGCTCAGGGAAGGGATCAAAGCCCAGTCCTGGCTGTGCAGTGTGTGCCGGGTGCTGACAGTCTGTGCACAGGTAGGACACTTCCAGGGCTCTCTGGATTCACTGCAGGCAAACTGTGTACAGGCCTCCAGAAGGGGAAGGGCTGTGTCCCCTGCACAGCCCAGGGCACACCAACATACCCTGCTGAAGGTGCTGTCCTGCTGACCCCGACACTGGTTTTACCTTTCACAAGGGATGTAGGACCCACATCACTG